CACCGCCTGCAGCCAGTCCTAGGGGACTGACGACGACTCCCAGATATGGTTATACAGATTTAGTAAATACTGTGACTCACAAGGAGGGAGATGACAAAGCATGGATTTGGATCGCCTCAAAACTTCCTTTAACCGCAAACTAAGACAGCTCTCTAGTCTTTGTCCTCCTGACTTTGATCGCATTAAACGTTTCCGTGTCATCTGCCCTTCTCTTCCTTATTTCTATGGTCTTCCTAAGACTCATAAACCTGGTGTTCCTCTTCGTCCAATCATTTCTTCACGGGGGCTCTGTCAGCTATCCTCTTGCCTCCTGGCTCGCTAAAACCCTGATGCCTTACCTTGGCACTTTTTCCCCTGCCCACCTTCGTCACTCTCAGGATTTCATAGAAAGACTGCGCCTGCAGCCCTCTTGTAAGATGCTTAGTCTTGATGTCGACTCTCTGTTCAACCCGTCCTCTTAAAAAGAACGTCACTTTTGGCTCGTATGAGCGATATGGCTAAATTTGGACGTAATTTGAAATGAAATCGACTCACAAAAGTGACGTTCTGTTCCGTTTTCTGTTTGAGTCGTCCTGCCTACGCGCAGAGGTTATAAGAGGACACTTTAAATTAACGTTTTTCATAACGTTTTGAAACTTTATAAGAATTTCCTGCCCACCTAACCTATCAGAGGACCCTTAACTTACTGTTGTTGAAAAAAAAAATTCCAAATTTGTTTTCATTTTTTTTTCATTTTCAAATTACGTCCAAATTCGGCCATACGGGCAAACGGCCAAAAGCGACGTTCTTTTTAAGAGGACAGGTTGCTCTGTTCACTAATGTTCCGCTCGATGACGTTCTCTCTTTCCTTAGACAGAAGGCGTCAGAGGGCCTCCTTCCTCTCCCGCTTCCCACTGACGTTTTCCTCGATCTCATTAGACTCTGTGTTGACTCTTAACTCTTTCTCTTTCAACGGTAAATATTACACTCAAACTTTCGGTGTCGCTATGGGTTCCCCTCTCTCCCCTGTTCTTGCTAATTTCTACATGGAATACTTCGAAACTGTTCTTCTTCCTTCTATTGATACTCGTCCCTCTCTCTGGCTTCGCTATGTTGATGACATTTTTGCTTTATGGCCTCATGACCTTAGTCTTTTCCAGCCTTTCCTCGCCTCTCTTAACAATCTGGCTCCTTCTATCCATTTCAAAGTTGAGTGGGAATCTAATTCCCTCCTTCCTTTTCTTGACGTTCATGTTCACAGCCCTGTGTCCTGGTTCTCTTTCTCTGTCTACCGCAAACCCATGCCTAGTGGCATGTACATTCCAAACCCATGCATAGTGGTATGTACATTCACTTCTTTTCCTACCATCGTCCTTCTGTTCAGAAAAGTGTCCTCGTCTCTCTCTTCCTCCGCGCTCTACGCATCAGCGACCCTCAGTTTCTTGATTCTGAAATTGCCTTTATCTACAAATCATTCTCTCGCCTTGGTTACCCTTTGCATTATATCAACTGTGCCTACTCTCAAGCTAAACTAAATTTCTTTCATCCTAAACCTGCTTCCAACACTAGTAGCACTGTACTATGCCTTCCCTTCATATCTGAATTCAAAACTTTTACCAATACCTTTCGTCCTCTTGACATTAAACTCGCCTTTCGACAAACTAACACACTTCGTAGCAGTCTAGTTCACACTGCTCCTCCTGCTTCTAATGCTGCTGGTGTCTACTCTATTTCCTGTTCGTCTTGTTCTTTCCAATACTTTGGCGAAACTGGCCGTACACTGAATGACAGACTTAAGGAACACAAAAGAAGTGTTAAGTCTGCAGACACTAACAATGCTCTCTTCTGCCTTGTGAGGGATTCTAATCATCCAATTGATTGGTCTTCCTCCAAAATAATCTTTCCTGCCTCTACTCTACACAGACGCCGTCTTGTTGAATCGACTCTAATACACAATGTACCCAACATGAACTTGAGTCCTGGCTTTGTTGCTGTGGACTCTTCCCTTTCACAGTATATACTCAAATGATCTAATATTTCTAACAAACGTGACCTAACATAAGCTTACCCCTTCCATTTATCTTTCATTCTCTTTCCTTTTCTTTCTCTTTTCTCCCTTTTCCTGTTCATTGTCTTCTCCTACGCTCCCTTGCTATTCTCTTCGTACTCCTATTACTATCTCCTTTGCATTCGGTGGTTATAATGGGAGCTGCCTCGTATGGGCCAAAAGACCCTCTGCAGTTCTTATTATTACTACTATCCCCTCTACTACACCTTACTTTGCTCCTCAGCTCTCTCTTGCCAATTTATTACCTGTCTGTACTTCCTCATCACAATCGGCTCGAGAATGGTCTAGGACGGACCGAAACGTCGTCGTCCCTTCACCTTCTAGTGTGTGGTCTGGTCAACATGACAAAGCATCTCATATATGAGATGCTTGACTGTCATCTGATCCCGCTAGGTCTCATATGTCTAGGAAAGTCTAGGAAAAAAGATTCAAGAACGGCCTTACGATTAAGGAAAGACAGAGGAAGATTAGATCCGGAGCTAACAGTCGAAAAGTGGGAACCTAGTTCGGGCAGGACCGCCACCGGATCCGTCACTATAGTACCACGGAGGTAATGGACCGGCGGGATATCTGGAACAAACTTATTCGCTACCTTGTGGATTTTCTTCCAGATCTTGTGCAGAGGAGTATCACACGTAATAGTGGAGACATAAGATTTCCAAATCTCACGTTTAGCTGTACGTATGGTCCAATGAGCCACCACACTCACCTTCCGAAATAAAATAAAAGAAGCGACCATCTGCTGGCGTCGGTGTTTCTTCCAGGCTTCCTGCTTATAGCGGACAGACCTAGAACAGTCTGCATTCCATCAGGGAACGCACTTCTGCGTGCCCCGGGGGGTAGAGAGGAGGACAGCGCTGAATATGGTGTCATGAAAAAGGAGGAGGGCTCGAGGGAGAGACAACGTGGAGAGGTAGGAGAGAGTAGCATGTAGGGTGAATAGGTTTCAGTCAGCCTTGGTAAACTACCACCTAGGGAAGGAGAAAGAAAGGTGAAAAGAAAAAAAGGTGACAAGGATTGGAAAAGTCACTGTTATGGAGGTCATCATGAACCCGCCACGTGAAATCTAAGTAAAGAGGCGACATCATGAAATCCGACTTGTGCCGATAGGTGAAATCACCCAACAGGAGTACAGGCTCTGGTAAGGAGTCCAACAGGTGCCTAAGATTAGGAAGAGAAATTGGGACATTTGGGTGGAGATAAATGGAACAGACTGAATACCATTTACTCACAAAAGTACGGGCTGCAGGACATTGGATAGGGGACTGAAAAAACAGGGGACTAAGAGAAAATCAGTACGAATGAAAAGAGCAATAGAGTTATGGGCCCAGCAAAAGCTGGGAAGGGGGGATAGAGAAAGGAATAACCACATAAGTGACCAGGACGAGCACCAAGCATCGGCTCCTGGAGACATTGCACAATACGATGAAAACTGTGTTATCAGAAGTTGGAGTTCATGGAAGTTGGCATAAAATCCACGAATATTCCATTGAAAAATAGACATTGTCAAAAGGAGAGAGAACAGCAACGGAGAGCAAACAAGAAACAAAGACAATGAAGAACACAGCTTATTAAAGAAGATCGGGATCAGGATCAGGATTATTAACATCAGGGTTAGGGGGGTATTGGTCAAATGAGCAAAGTCGATGGAATAAAGGGAGCGGGATAACAGACAGGGTCCGGAGGAGGTGGGAAGCAATGGAGAGGGGCGGTCTAACCCCTAACCCCCCTAACATCTCCCCAGCATTAGGGAGACCGCTAACAGGGGTCTCCCCAATGCTGGACAATGCAGCTAAGTGGGCAGCTGCATCCTGAGAGGGAGCAGTAATGACACGTGTACCAAAAGGGGTGGGGTTAAAAGTAACACAAGCATCCAGCGAATCAATGAGGTGTTTATGGAGGGAGAAATTGTAAGGAAATGTAGAATCCATATGGTTGAAATCAAAGTATTTAGTCCATGTAGCAAGACCAAACAAGGCGTGGAACTTATTAGCACGTGAAGAAATGGCGCAAGAGCATCTGTGGGGTGGTTGGCGCCAAGAACCCCCAGTGAGAGTGGGGGTAAAAGGTGCAGTAGTCACAATGAGAGAGGGAGCCACTCTAAGGGACGAGATGGTCACCACTGGGGGTTTGGGGCTCGACCCTACAACAGTGGAGGGTTGGGAAGTAGCTTGGTTTGGTCCCAATGTAGCAGGGGCTACAGAGCCTGGTCTTCCATCACAGTCTGACTCGGAGGCCTGATCACCCAACCCACGAGCCTGGGTAGAGAGGTCGGTTCAATTTCCATATATCATCAATTCTAAAAGTCTTGGGCCTGGTTCCTAGCAATACCACCTACCAGGGCAGCCAGGGAGGCCTAGTGTGGGTCAGTGCAGGAAGGGTGCGTCGTCCCGAGCGGTGCTCCCCCTTTTTAACAGGGAAGTCCTACTGCTTCGTCCATTATCCCACACTGGTGCAAAGACCCCATTCTTCCTCTTGCTCCAGCCTGGACACCCAACCATCCACTTAGGGCAGTTCCTCGCGGGCGACCCCTTCATCGGGTGGTCCGTTGACTTATAATGTCCCATTACGTTTATGCTCGTTTGCATGTGCAACTCCCAAAGCGGGGCCAGAAAGAGGGTGAAGGCAACCCTCACCAGTTCCAGGGAGGTGTACGGGAGCCCCCTCACCACGACAAGGCAGCACTGAGGGGCTTCTTACATTATGTGTTCTAACACTACACATTCCTACACTACACGTTGGTACACAAAATATTAATATTTTACATGTTCTTGTATTATCTGTTCTTAGCCTACATGTTCCTACAATAAATGTTCCTACACTGCATGTTCTTATATTACATGTTCTTACATTAGATATTCTAACATTAAATGTTCTAATGCCACATGTTCTTACACAACATGCTGATGATATTATTGTAGTGTTACTGGCTAACAATGTGCTCTGCCCCCAGGGGTGTCCGACTGAGTACGTCGAAGTTATCGTCACAGAGACGCAGGTGAGTACCACCTCAGGGAACGTCTTGGGGGATTGACATTAGTGTAACTCTGAATCACAAAACAATAAAAGAACCTAAGCATTTCTGTAATGTTATGACCTCATGGCATTACAGTAATTAAGCTTAGGTTCTTCTTATTCAGTCACGGATGAGACACATTGTCACAAGCTTGGCTAAAAACAAGGAACAAAAAGTCGCAATTCTTTCCGTTATCAACTGCTTCAAAAATTTTTAATTGAATGAGAGCAAATTTGTCAAACTTGAGCGACTGTTGATTCATGCTGTGAATCCTTTATTAGTCTTCGTTTTTCAAAATATATAAGAATGACTTTTGCGATTATCGAGTAAAGATATTCGCACTCTATATAATTTGGCATAATTTTTTTATCTCTTCTTGATTGTATGATAATACGTTGTTTCATGTGCCCTTCCCCCATTTTAATATATTTAATATATTTTGATTATCTCAAAATATATTATCTCCACCCCATTCTCTCTCCCTCCCTTCCTGCCTTCACTTCTCTTTCCTCCTTCCTATTCTCTCTGCCTCGCATTCTCTATCTCTACTATCCTACCATGCTCTCTCTCTCTCACCCTTCATCACACTCTCCCTATATCCCTCCTATTCTTCCTCCTTCTCTCCCGATCCCTCTCCACTTAACCCAGCCCGTTCTCTCTGCCACGGGGCAAAACATGCTCGAGCAATGTTCATTCATCTTTGTATCAACTTATCGATGTTGAATCAACGTCTATGGCAGTAGAGAAACAAATTGGAAAACACTTTTCACAATCAGTCCCATATTTCAGACTTTATAGGATCGTTGGTTTTCGAGATAGAAGCCAAACCCTACGTAAAGGTCGACCCCAACTAACCTATGACACTCACCATACAATCATACAGCACCTTGCAAAGTTTGTTGAAGCAAGAATCTGGCCTCCAACCTTGGAATGACAAACAGACAGATATTATGTCTTATACATACAAATATTTTTGTGCCCTAATTAATATTGTTTTAACAAATTATAAGTAGAATCCGCACGAAAATCATCAGACACGTGAGCCACCTCTAGTCAGGTGTCACGTGACACACACCACCCGCTCAGGTCTACACAATCTACTCATCCCAAGAAACTTATCAATCCCCTGTAATCTGCTTTTCGAAAGTCTAGTGGCCTTACAGAGTTTTCTTTCCCAACAATTTGTCCATGCCAGGTTATGTCTAATGTCGTTATAATCATGTTCCCTATGAGTCTCCTTATTTTTAATCAATTTACTAGTGCTTCCTTGCAGGGCAAAACCAAGTCTAGTATATTGTTTTCCCCCCCTTTGTTTCGTAATGAATTATTTAAGAAAGCAACTATCCACTATTCAACAACAAAAATTTCTGCCTCTGCATTTCCTGATTTATTGATCCAATAGTTCTATTAAAAGAGTCACCACTAACGTAAGAACTTAGGAAAAAAAGAAGCTGCAAAAGGCCTATTGGCCCATATGTGGCAGCTCCTATTTATGTTCACCCAAACTCATTCAGATATATAAGTCTTGAAACAATCAAGGGGTTAGTCAACGCAAACGTTCTTTGATCTAGATGGTCCAGATATTTCATCCCATAGTTTGCTTTCATCCTATGTATGGTGTTCTGTATAACTATTATTATTAAATATTTGTTATTTGTATTTAACTATAGCCAAATAGTGTCAGTTTTTCCTAGTTTTGATCCCCGCATTGACACTACATTTTAAATTTGCACTAACGTATGTTGCCACTCAGTCTACTCTCTTCATCTCTATGAAATAATTTGAATTCCTTAATTTGATTATCAGCTAATAGTTTAATTTTAACAATTTTCTTCACGTTTTAGTTAGTGTAGTAATATCCAATGTTTCTCTGCAAACTAAAGAATTTGACTCTCCTATTTTGTTTATAAGAAAATGGTTATTTGTATAATTTCTAAATGGTGACCATAAGAATAGAAGAACATAAGACTGGAAACTGCAGAAGGCCTATTAGCCCATACGTGGCCGCTCCAATTTTAATCAACCAAGACTCATTCATATATATGTTTAACCTACGCTTTAAACAATAAAGGGATCCCATATCTATTACCCGATAATTGACTCCAAAATCCACAACCCCGTTACTAAATCAGTATTTACTCAGGTCCCTCCTAAATTTAATACTTTATTAATAACACCTTTGTTAAACCCACCCATCAACTTGTTCACTTCAATCTTATTATACCTAACTTCGCCTTTCTAGAGAATGTATATTAATCGTTGTCAGTCTCTCTTCATATGAAAGATTTCTAATGTGTGGTATTAACTTTATCATCCAATGCTGGACGTGTTCTGGTGAATTTATATCCATTCTATAGTATAGCCACCAAAACTGAACTGCATAATCTAAAGGGGACCTAAGAAGAGGAAGATATAGCTGAGAAATAACAGCATGTGTTTTATTATTAACACTTCGAGAAATAAATCCCATTGTCCTATTTGCATTATTCCGAAAATGTATGCATTGATTATTTTGGCTTTAAATTTTTACTGATAATAACTCCCAGATTCCTTTCGCAATTTGACATCACAATCTCAACACCATCTAGCTCGTATCTTGTAACTCTAGCATCATTACCAAGCCTCAAAACCTTACATTTGCTAGCATTAAACTCAATCTGCCAACCTTTTGCCCATTTCAAAACCATATTTAGATCGACTTGAAGTGATAATGAGTCTTTTCCCGTGTTTATTTACCTCCCTATTTTTGTATCGTCGGCAAATTTGCATTTATTCCTGCTCAAACCTGAATCTAAATTATTTATATATATTATGAACTAGCTGTACCTGGCCACAGCAACCTTTCCCTCTCTCCCAGTCCTCCTCGCCAACCTTTCCCTCGTCTCCCAGTCCTCCTCATCCCCCATTCCTCCTAACCCTTCCCCACTCCACCATCCCTTCATCCTCCCCATCATCTCCCACTCCCTCATCCCCTCATCCTCCCTGCTATTCCCCCACTTCCCCATCCCCTCGTGTCCCCTGTTGTCCTCTCCCACCATCCTCCATTTCCCTGTCCCCTCGTCCTCTCCATCCCCAACTCCCCCATCCATTCGTCCTGCCCACCATTACCCCCTCCCCTGTCCCCTCGTCTTCCCCACCATCATCCACTCCCGTCCCCTCATCCTCCCCACCATTCCCCACTCCCTCGTCCGATGCATTCCCAAATTATATGATGTTCCCTTCAGAAAATTGGGAACATCAAATGATCTGATGTTCCATCACTGGAATATTAGAAAAGCAGTTAAAAAAATGAAATGAAAAACAATGAAAAATAAAAAAGTATACTATACTCAGGGAATGAACAGTATAGTAAACAACACAGCTCAATTCCAATGCAAAAAATGAATCAAAATGAAAATAAATAAAAATCTATGAAAATTAAATTTATCAATGCATTTGTAAACATTGAAATGGAATAATAACATATTTAGTATAGCTATACTCAGATGGTGCTGGGACATGAACAGTATAGTAAACAACACAGCTCAATTCCAATGCAATGTCACACAAAATAATTAAATCAAAATGAAAACAATTAAAAATCCATGAAAATTAAATTTATCAACGCAATTGGAAACATTAAAATGGAATCGTAGCATATTTAGTATTGTGTGTGTTGCTATTACGTGCAACAGATAGCACTGTGTTTTTAACACAGACGTGTTTTTACCTGTCACAGATGTGGCATCTATATAATATGTATATAAAAACACGTGCGTATTCGAATGGAACATTGTGTGGAACGTTTCAAAGTAATTGGTGAAGGACTTTCAGAGATTTAAGCGTGTGTTGCTCTTACGTCCAACAGATGGCGTTTTTTTTTTTTAAAGCATGTTTTTTCCTTCACAGGCAAGTATATAGTAGGTATATAAAAACAGGCGAGTATTCGAATGCAACGTTGTGTCAAAATTTCAAAGCAATCAGTAAAGAGGTTACGAAGGTTTCCTTCACAAGAAAAACACAGGAAAAACAATTTTTCAAAAAAGCATGTTTTTTCCCGTCACAGACGTTATATCTATATAGTACGTGTATAAAGACCCGCTCGGATGCGAATGGAACGTTGTGTGAAAATTGCAAAGCAATCGTTGAAGAACTTTCGGGGACTAGCGATTTTGAGCAAACGAGCATTTATATATTTATTAATATAGATATATTTTTTATTTGTTAAATTGGAAGGGAGTGCCACCTCTGGCTGGAAGAAGGGGACCCATAGCCTCGGAGGAAACCACGCATAACGCATTAGAGGGAATGTTTAGATCCCCTCCAATACAGTTTCTGTGTGCTTTTCACCTACCACCCCCTTCCTTTTGTGCTTTGTTGTGCTTTATTAGATATTAGGACGATATTATCATTTTTAGATATTTAAAGGTTACAAAATGTACATTGGCTGACACAATGAGTGCTTAAAGGTTATAGATCTCTTGAAGCTCCGCTTCTGGACAGGAACCGAGGATGCAACAGGCGTTTTCCCTTTGGATCACCACACTGAGACGCTAAAACAAAAAACTGGCATCCCTTGGGTCTCTGGTGACGTCAATGAGCTTGGAACCTAATTCCTTGAGAAATCCAAAGGCACTCCTAACTCAGAGGGCCATGCGTCTAAGACGCTATGGGAACAAAGGTGTATTGACCTTCTAATCGCCTGTATTTGACTGATTTTGCTATTTCTCTGTGGTTGGCCGCCCAACCTGCTTGATCAGCACCAAAGTGTATGTAGGTGTCAGCCAGGGTGGATACACCCTGGCTGACGTGTAGTCCCACATCAACTGTTTGCCCCTTTTTCAGGAGTATATAGTGATGCCATCAGGGCGAGGTGCGGGGTCATTCGGGTTTTGGTCCCCTAGGATGCAAGGTTCTCTCCCCACTGGGCATTGAGCTGAGACAAGGCTCCTCTTGATGATGTCATTGACCTCATTGTGTCTTGCATGGATCTTCTGCAGTGC